TGTGTGTTTTAAATGTCTTACAACTGTTCGCATTTGTCTTTCCATTGCCATACACTGGCATACATTTGTATGTACATATATATGTACATTATCTAGGGTGGTCCAAAAATGCATGTAAAAAAGTAAAGTCGGAATTTTAATGCCCTCACCCCCTAGGATTTTTCTATACCGAAAAAAAATTTATTCCTGTTTTTTATTATATTTTAAAGAGTTAAGAATTCTTAAAATTCGATATTTTTCGATCAGAAAATCTGTTTTTCGTCAGAAGACTTTCAATAATAATACCCAATTGTTTGCTTTACCATTTTTAAATACTAACAAATTTTTTTGGGGGAACTTTAAAAATTTGTTAGTATTAAAAAATTTTAAAATAAACAATTGGTTACTATTATTGACAGTCTCCTGAAGAAAAAGATGGTTTTTCGATTACAAAATATTGACTTTCAAGAATTCTATACAATTTCTACGAAAACATGTTATTCCCCATATAAAATACATGGAAAAAACAGGGGTATAATTTTTTCGGTATAAAACAAACAAAGGACGTGAGCGCATTAAAATTCCGACTTTGCTTTTCCACATGCATTTTGGGAACACCCTTGTATGCCCGCAGTGGGAATTTTTGAGAAAAAACTTTTACCAAATCCACACATTTGTCGCCTCAATTCCAACTGACATACGTACATATATGTAAGTACATACGTAAGTACGAGTATATGTATGCGTATACATGCATATAGACTTCAGCGCCGTGTTTACAAGTAGCAATTTATTATCAGCCCGCAAATTTCCGACAAATCTAAAATGAAAAGCCTAAATGAGTTGAAAAGTTTTTTATGACCGCCAGGCTTACAAAAATATCCACGTGAATACTTTACTCATGCGACTAGGAAGCTATGTACAACTCACATACATACATACATACATATGTATGTATGTACTTAAGTGGCATTTGAGTTTCATTGTTGTTTTGTTACAACTGTTATTGTTGCTCCTTTCATACACACCTTTTTTTTACTGGATTTGCCTTTAAGTGGCTTTTATTCGATTACATACTTTCTTGTTCACAATTGTTAAGAGAAAAGAGAATTTCGCGTTCTATCACAAATGTCACTTTTATTTTTATTTCAAATGCGTGCAATAAAGTTTGAAAATTTTTTTTCTTTTGTTTAGATTTTCTTTGTTTTGCCTGCATAGTTGTTATGTGCCTTGTTAGCTCATCACGTTGATAAGCACAAAAAATTCACACATATAAAATGTTGTTGTTCACTTTTTTTTTGCACTGAATTAAACAAAGTAATGAAAATAAATTAAAGAAAACGATTCAAAACTTTGCTTAAGGACATTATTTATTTTCAGATTTCACGCCAAGTATCCAGTGTACGATATTTGAACAGCTAGAAATTTTACTAAAGTAAAACCAAACGTTTCTGGTATGACAAAATTTTTCCGAAATATCCAAAAATATGTCAAAAACAATTCGTAGGAATCCCGAGAAAATCTCAATAAATCGGGAAAAATCACGAATTATACGATTCATCATGAATGCGTAAACCAAAATTTATCGGTCCATACCGAAAATTACCAATAAAAACATAAAAAATAATTTGGATGCATCCCAGTAGAAATCCCGAGCAAAAATTAAAAAAATTACGACTGATTTCATTTTTAATCAATGTCGAAAAACTTCGCATAGATTTTAAAATCTCGAACAAGAGAGAAAAAAATTCGAATCACATCACTTTCAGCAACGCCTAGGAAGAAAAACCAAAACTTATCGGTTATTTCCGACAAGTGCTTACTGAAACACGAAACAATCCCGAAATATCAAAAAAAAATAAAAAAAAAACTCATATAAATCTCGAAAAATTCTCAAAAATCTAAAAGCGTTAAAACAAAACAAAACGAATTATCAGCGTTAATCCCGAAAAGTCCTGCATCAAACGAATGGCCTCGAATTCTTGTTTTTATCAATGCCGAAGAAATAGGTAAGTACCGAATTATTCTAACAAACTCCAACAAATTTCGTAAAACTCCCGACCAAATCGCGAAAAGTCAGTAAATATGGTTTCGAGTCAATTTATTTTTAAGCAGCGCCTACAAAAAATACAATCGGATTGAAACTACCGACAATCCCGAAAGGTATTCTAGAGCCGCCCAACATACAGTGATCGTATAGAAAAGTATGGGTCGCCGTGGACATGCAGTGCATTGAACTTGAGTTCACTCTCCCTCGATGAGCTATTAACGACACAGAGAGCGCTTTGCAAGAGCCTTAGCTTAGCGTTTGGAGGTGCTTGCCTGTTAATGTGAGCGAAATGTCGTCAGCATAAACTATGACGAGACGGCACGTATTCTGCAGTCGCAGAAGAATTGAATTTACCATGATGTTCCAGAGTGGGGGAGAACTCTTACTTGAAGGGTACCTCTCGTTGCATAGGTAGAGAGATGGTTTTTCTCTCCAGAAGGCACCATATATGTGAGTTGCGCCAGTGACCGTTACACTCCCACTTAAAAAAGTTACCACACGACGACATCTCGAGGAATATTCTTAAAAAGCCGATCTATGTCAAGGAAGAAATTCTAAGATAAATTCTTTAAATGAAAATCCTTTTTCAATTTTGCACACAATTTCGTGTAACGCTGTTTCCAGGGATTGGGAACGTTGTTAAGTAATGGGCAGATAAAGTCGACCGCGTGAGATTTTCTGGTTGCACGATACTCTCTACCGAATCGTTTCACTTAATGCATCTGGCTTAGATTCTACAATGCATTCAGAGAAGTGGGTGCTCATGGGAACATTTGACATTTCGTTGCAGGATGAGGTCCGTTCACCGTTAGACTTTTTGATATAATTTGGGGTAACTTGAATTTTTGATAGGACCTTCCGTAATCGGTTGCCCTCAGAGGTTTACTCAATGTTGCCGCAGAAGTGTTTCCAATATTTCCTTTCAGCTATTCGGGCATAAGTCTTGAAAGTTTTTAAGGCATTTTTGTAGAGTTGCCAAGATCTGGGTCTTCTTTTCTAAACTAAAGATCAAAAAGAGGCAGTAAGCCTCGGCTCAAGGATTCCACCCTTGCACTTTCGAGAGGTGTGGTTGTTTGTCCACCGTTGTTATACTCCAAACTTAGAAGTTTTATTCTAATGAACCCCGCCCGCATTTTCTCAATAGATTTGAACAATCTTCATATATGTAAAAAATTTCGTGTATTCAATTTGCCTTTATTTGCATTAAAATCACTTTCCGCAGAGCTTACTTTGGATTTTTGGCCGCTAACTTTTGTAGCAGTGTGAGAAATGAGAAGGCTTGAGTAACAACCTAAAAACCATACAAATATTCGTACATAATAATCAAACTTACTAAGACGAATTGTTCACCACACTCACCGACCGCAAACGTTCAATATCCATCGCATAAAATTTGCCTGCTGTTAGCCGTACCGCACGCTTGCTATTCACCAATAGGATTAGAATATCCTGACGTATAGCACCGGTGTGAGTCCACCATTGTGAACGCCAAAAAGCTTCACCACAACGTACGCTATGCCCACGCAATAGTTCACCAAAGTAAGTAAACATTAGCAACTCGACGAATGTTAAGGTCAAATATTGAGCCAAATTCAGAATGCGCACCATTGAACGTTCGCCCTGAGCAAATCGAGATAGTTTACATAAAGTCGAATATGAAAGTTTATGCTGCGAAATTGCATATATTTTTTAACAACTCAACTTACTGCAACGCCAACGAAAACCAACAAACACAACTGCNAGATAGTTTACATAAAGTCGAATATGAAAGTTTATGCTGCGAAATTGCATTTATGTTTTTTAACAACTCAACTTACTGCAACGCCAACGAAAACCAACAAACACAACTGAAATGTTACTTGTAGCGACTTAACGAGGCAATAAGGATTAAAAAGTTCTTCCAACTCCTTGCAGGCATCCAATATAAAGCGATGAAGTTGAACACACTGCACGACGGCTGAGCGTACAGCTTCGGGCAAAGTTGCCGTTGGTTGTTGGGTGTGTAAGTGTTGAAGTGCTGAGAGATCGGTTAAGTGTTCGTTGCAGTAAATATACTGATTAAGTTCGTCGTCTTGATTTGTTGGTAATGCCGCTTGTTCATTGCTGAAAAGAACGGAAAATTAGTTTGTAAGAAAACTATTCAGCAAAGATTTTGACTATAACAAGTAGTTTCAAAAATCTTTTGCATGTGTAAACATCTTAGCTCTCGGTATGGGTAATATTTGCGCTAACGCAGCACAGTTCTGGCCCATTTCATGGCTATTCCAGGATGAGGACTAGCTCACGGCTAGTTTGGGGCTAGTTCGGGGTCATTTCGGAACCTTTTCTGGCCCAGTTCTGACTAGTTCGAAATCATTTCGGTACCGTTTCAGGAGGTGTTCAGGATCGTTTTGGGACTAGTTCTTGGTTATTTGAGCTATATTTTGGACGCAGTTCTCAATCTTTTCGCGAGTTGTTGGGCATCATTTTGGGACTTGTGCAAGTTCATTTCGGCGCTAGTTTAGGACTATTTCAAGACTTGTTCTAATTTATTTCTGGACAAGTTCACGACTTTTTTCGGGGCCTTTTCAGGACGATTTCGGGTCTAGTTCGGGAGCATTTCGGGATCTGTTCTGGACTATTTCAAGACCATTTCGGAGCTATTTCAGGACCGTTTCCGAACTTGTTCACGACTATTTTAGAACAAGTTCTGTATAAATTTAAGATCATTTGATATTCCCCTTAAAGAAACCGGCAGCAACTCTGCAATTCTTCCTTGGTAGGCTTAATAAAAACCAACTATTGTTAGTTTCGCTGTTTTGGCACATAACTTTGCCTGATCATACTTCGTCTATTTCGATATTCAAGTGTTGGAGAGGTCTATAGGTTGTCCGTTAGAGCTCCCCTATTGCCGTGAACTTTCCTTCGGATTTGCCAGCACTGGTTTTCCACGATTAGCGCAGCCGTTGGAGTAGACCTCAACAGTCGCTTGATGCGCAGTGCCGGGAGGCGTCTAACCTTCGCCATAGCCCCGAGGTATTAGCTAGGTTAAGTTAATTTCTGGCTAAATTTTAGTACCGTCTACTAGAATTCAGAATAATATGTACTTATACATACATATTACCGTTAACCAGGACGGACGTGACTCTGCTAGTACTGCTTACTAAAAAAACAAAAGTACCTTAATTTTTCTGCCGAAATTGAGTGAAACTGCCTTAAGTCTCTCCTGGAGAAGGAATGTGCAGAAGAGAACTAAGAAATCTCTGGCAGCATACTACACGTGCCAAAACACCTTTGAAAAGCAATTTCGAATATCCCCGTAAGCACCAATGCTTCAGTGATGACAAAAACCAACGAGCACTCTCTGCAGAAGCTGCCTTAATGAGGATGAGGNACCCCCTTTTTTGTAGATTTTTTACTTTAATTTTTAGAGACTTTTACATTGGTGGCATGAAGCTTTTTCCTGATAAGACTCCTAGTAAAATTTTCTGGAGAATAATTTTCTAGAATATATCAATCCTCTAACGAATTTCCAAATTTGCTTTTTGCGGGTTTTCTTGAAGTTAGGGTTACAACGACCTTTACAGGCAGGAGCTAATGGGTTAAAATGTTCTACGAAAATATTTCCCATGAAATTTTACTATATATGTCTTAACCCTTAAATTAACCATTTTTTCGAAAACTACTTGGGCCGGGACATGAAAACTTTAGTAGGTCTTAAAATAAAAATATGAGCTAACTTTTGTAAATCCATCGAGTTCTTTAATACTGAATATGTATACTTTCGGAAAATGTGTGTCTGCTTTGAATTGTCATAAAATTCTCGCACATTGCAATTACTTGAAACTACTTAGCTCCTCTCTCGGTTATGAATAGGTGTCTCTTCTAACACTCACTTGAACAGGGCACTCACAATGAACAGTTCTATCTCCGAGTGAAAGTATGCGACACGCCTTCCTTTTGTAGTAAATTTATATTTTTTCATTCACTTAAATTTATTTTTCTTTCACATACCGCAATTTTTCACTTTCGTATCCAGCACATAAACGCCCATAGTAACTCAAATTCTTCAGGCTGCAATAGAGCACATCAAACTGGCCGCACATGAGCATAACCAATGAGACAAACAAAGCAGAACCATTGCCAAATGTGGCACCCATTATTATCTGCGCCAACAACTGCTGCACATAAAGCAGCTGATAGATGTAAGGTTGCTGAGAACAAAAATAAAATTTTTCAAGTTAAAAAAAAAAATCCATAAAAACCACTAACACGTACCAATGGATCGAAGGGATACCAAGTATTCAATGGCAGCAAGCGTACACCCATCACCAGCGGCGCCAATCCATACAACACCGTACCGGCCACACACACACTTGTCCAAACAATTGTCAAACGCTTGGCCAGCACAAATGAGTGATGCCAGCTAACAAAGCTCAGGCCAGGCAGCGAGTGATGCCAATAATGTTGATTAATATACTGCAAGAATGTCATTAAGCGACGCGAACGTAACAACCAATAGCAAGCAGCATAAACGCTAAACCAAAAGATTATTGTCATAGTGAGTGCATCGGTAATCTCTTCCAATGTGCCGCCGAGTAACATATCGTAAGAGCACTTCAAGTAGAGCACACCCAAGCAAAGTGTTTGCGAAATGACAAAGCAGCAGTAGATGTAGCCCAAAAGCTGATTGACTAAATGCAGAGGAGGTGGATATCTTATGTTGAAGGGAATTTGTCCTGTGGCCTTGAAAGCGGCGACTTGTGCGGCAAAAAGATTGCCAATACGCGCTGGATCGGCGTGAGAATAGCGTGGCGAAGCGCCTTGTTGGAACTCTTTGACTAACATTGCAGTTATTCGGCTTTGGAGCAAATTTTGTAAAACGTTTGCACGAAGATTTTCTAACGGTTTGATGTTGCGCTGCGCTTCAAGTTCGCTTAAATAGGCATTTGGAGTTGATTGGGCGCGCCATTGAATGGATTGGTTGAATTTAGTTTTCTATATCGATCTTGGAATAAAGTTTTAATAATTTAATTAATGTTCTTGTGTTCACTGTGTCTGTAATTTTTAAGCAAAGGCGACTCATGCTTAGCATTATTTAGACAATCAAAAGTACTAAGTATGAAACTTTTTGAAAACGCCTTTCGTAACTTTTTAACTACTTAATTGATTGTTCATGTATAAGTTTGCCTAGAAGCGAACATGATTCAGCCCGCGATAGACATACATACATTATGTATATTAGGATGGGTCGAAAATTTAATTTTTGTAAATGACACTGTAGTTGGCACAATTTAAATTTGAAACATAAATTTGACAAAGAGATTCATTCCAAAATACATAATTTTAGTATCCCTAAATCCTTTTGTTATATTTAGTGAAAATGAAAACTTGATTAGGTAAACTAGCAAATACCCGGCGTGCTTCACTGCGCCTTAAAAGTATTTTTGTGTTCTTACGCGCTCCCAAAAAAAGTTCTATGGCAACATTCAACAAAAAAATAGATTTAAAGAGCTTTATGAAGGGAGATTTTCAATTCGATTTAATTATGAAGCATTCTTTATTTTTTATAAATGCGGGCGGTAGTCAGTATATCTTCGAAGGTATTTAAAAAGGACAAATGTGTACTAATTCAATATTTACCTTGTCTTACGAATTTAACTGATTAAAATTTTCAAATAGGTGGCAACCCGCTTCAAAAATATGTTCGATATTAAACTTTCGTAAACCTCTTTAGTTTAACACCAATAAGGTAATATTTTATTTATTTTATCAAATTAAATTAATAAACATTTTTAAACAGGTGGCAATCTAACTCAAAAATATTTTCGGCAGTAAACTTTCCTAAACCTCTTTCTTTTGACAGCCATATTGCAATATTTAATTTATCTTATTAATTAAATTTAATTAAAATTTTCAAACAGGTGGCAATCTTCTACAAAAATTTACCGGTTGTAAGCCTTCTTTACCAGCCATTTACCTAAACTGCAAATTTTAAATAGGTGGCAACTCTCTAATTCTTTTTCTTCTATGTTTTAAGTTATACCTCACGCAATACATCGGTGAAAACTGCATTCGATGCTAAGCAATCGTTTTCGATTGATGCGCTTACAAACATACACACAGAGAGATAAAAATTCTAAAAACTGTTGATTTGGCTTCTGTTGCTCTAATAAAGACCCGGCCAAATCGCTTAAGCAGTTACAGCGCCCATAAAGAAGGATATTAATTTTTCTTTAATATCTACAATGTACAGACATCGGTCTGTGACAATTTTATTATATGTATATTAAGGTGGTCCTTAAATGCAGGAAGCAAATATTTACATCCGATCTCCTAAGCCTCAACCCCTACGTCGATGCTGCTATAATCGAAAATATCACTTATAAATTTTGGTTCCGATTGGGGACGGTTGAGGCGGGTCGAACAGGAGGCAAAGTTCAGATTCCGCTATGGAGAATCAAAAAATTAAAATTATTTTCTTTTTGGCTAATACCCAAAATCGATACTACCATAGTCGAAGATATCACATATAAATTTTGGTGCCGATTGAAGTCGGTTAAGGCTTGTCGCACAGGGGTCAAAGTTCAGATTACCCTATGAAGACGTCCTAACCGACTCCAACGGGACTAAAATTTATCTCTATAGAGGAATCTGTACTTTGCCCCCCTTGTGCGACTCGTCTTAACCGTGTACAACCGGGACCATAATTTTTATGTGATATCTTTGACAATGGTACTACCGATTGAGGGGTTGGGACTGAAAAAAATCCCTCATTTGATTTTTAAAGGACCACCCTAATGTATATATTAAAAACATTCGTTTATTAGCGCTCGCATCGACCTCGGTTGCTCGGAGAAAAAGTATTCTTGGTCAAATTCAAAATTTTATCAAGGAGTTTGGTCTCTTTCTTAGAGAATTTGTTTAGGAGCCCAAATAACTTAGTCAAGGTTAGGGGTGGTTAGCTTAGGTTGATGTGAGTGCTGAACTTATGAAGTCAGCACATCTAATCCCCGGCAGGATCCAAAGCGCCTACCTCTTAAACCAGTGCGTGGAGTGTACGACCTTAACAGTTACCGCGATTCAAACTTTGCAGTTGGGCTTAGATCGTCTAAACATCCTTCGCCAAAGAATTTTCCTTACTCTAGTGCAGAGCAATCGCATAGTATGTGCCTATTGGATTGAGGCTATTCTTCATAGTAGCAGCTTCTTTAGTAGTCATTGTAGCTGATATCGGGTAATTCTAAGACATGCAGTCATATCACGATATGTCCTGTGGGGAAACCAATGGCCAATGATATATCACCTCTATTGAGCGTAAGAATTTCTCATTCAGACTGGTGAAAGTAGACTGGAAATACACCTTCTTGCAAGCTCGTCTGCTTCCCCACTTTCTAATGGCCCGAAACCCACCACAAGATAACTCTGTAGCTGATTTCTGTAACTCTTCTCTACCGATTATTTATCTACTGGTAGAGAATATATGTACGTCATTCTCTACTACTCATTAGCAGTAGAGAACAAGGCGTCGAATTCATATCTCAATTCGCCTTGGTAGAGAATTGTTACAGAAACGAGTTTTTCGGCACCATCTCACCATTGTCTGCTAGTTTCGACACGGTTTTACAACATACAAGTGATCCTAATGCTACCTGGCTTTCCAAAATGATGTTTATTGTTACCTAATTAGTCCTTCTTCGAAGACATTCGTAGGCACAGACTGCAATTGCGAAAATTTTCATCTGGAATATGGTTGGATATATGCCCATCGGAAGGTTTTTTTTTTAAATCTAGGTCCATAAACGCCGACTCCCATGTTTCCAGCCACAAATTTGAATCTATCAGTGTACCAAACTTTAGATCCCTCGCTGAACATGGCGATTATCGTTGTACAGGTATCCCTATCAGCTAATATTATTACGTAGGGGTCACCTTTCACAACATTGAGTCTGTGAATTTGACTACGGGATCATTTATGAATGGTTTTAGGACACCCAAATGCCCCTCTTAAGGCTAGGGACATACTACATTCCTTCGCGCTGATTAGCTCCCAGTTAGTTAACCGGAGTCCTTGATGGCGCCGGGCATAAACATAGGAGCAGTACCAAAGCTTCCTTGGCTGATGACTTTATATATTTCCTGCTTTTTCCGCGATCATTGACTCTTATCTTGAATAAAGTTGTCGCAGGTAATCCAACTAAAACTGTTATTTTTCAGCGCTTTTTACGAAATAATGCCAGTGCGACTCGTTTCGAGCAATCTCAGTTTGGTTTTCTCATGACATTCGTAATTTTGCAGATAGTTAAATTGTTCCACCGTTCATATATGTACCTTTGCATGACCTGTTCGATCTTATTCTACAGTTTTTTTTTGTATGTCTGTTCTGCCCGATTACCAACATGGAGACCCCAAAGAGTTACAGGCTCAGAATGTAGATGCCTACCTTATATAGGTGAAGGCTAAAATTGATAGCATCACAATAAAACACCGGGACCCTCGGCAAAGGAGGCTCAAAGTAGCATCCAATATATAGCTTGCGTTGGAATGAGGATCGCTATCACTAGAACAGCGCTCTTACCAGCTGGGGCGAGGTCTACCCGGGAGTGATCAAATTTTCGGGAACAATATATTGAAAAAAGTTATTTCGAGATAAAGGAGTCCACCCTTATTACCATTACACTGCAAGGTGCAGAAGAAGCTGCTCTAAAAAATAGTCATGGGCACACTTTTTGCATGCTGAGGACGTATAATTCCCAGCTAGTAAGTGGAGAGACCACAAGAAAACCAGGAACATACATACATTCTGATAAGTACCAGACTTAAATAATATTTTCTTCTACAATTTGGTGAAGAGGACAAGACCGTAGCCGGTCTGGACTGAAGTAGGCTGAGAGTATTCAACGCCATCAACTTGTAGACTGATAGTCAGTAGCAAGGAGTTCCCAAATATAGAAGATGGTGTAAATGGCTGCCTAATGCCCAGCTCTTGGCAGCTCATTGTACACCACTCTTCTTTTTCGACTTAGATATGGAACCCTTTGTCTTAGCCTGTACACACATATATATGTACATTTTTCTACCCACCTATACCCATAGATTAGTTGGTTAAATTCATCTATCGCTGCCAGCCTTTCTTACAGCTGGCTTTGCTAACGATTCTCTTATTTGAGGTCTATTGATGGCAAATTCAGTATCATTTCTGGGGCAACCATTGGCATTAGACTCAGCGCCATCCTTATACTTATGCCTGGCAGCCCTCGATAGATATATAGACAGATATTCCGGTGAGGAATGCACTGTGACCAGCACCTCGGTCAGTCGTAGCTTCCTTAGGAAATCGAGTAGATTTTTATGTGTCATCGAGTGCATGTGAATCGTCTGCGAGTTTAGTAACCCGCCACTGCATCATATTCGAGGATTATGTTATCAAAAGTTTCCACTGTCATATCACAGAAATGGCATGAATCAGTGGACCAGATCCCGGGTTTGTGTAGGTGACTTCTTAATCTGCAATGACCTGTTATAATTCTTAGTTTGCTCTTTGGAAGGTTATTTATTTTATCATATCTTTTTCTATTGTATCCCCTTAATAACTTCTTTGTTTTGTGCGGCCCAGTTACTTCCTTCCATTTCAGCTCTCTATTTATTCTTTCTTCCATCCTAAGCTCATCTCTGATGGTGTAAAGCCATACTGCAAGGATGTGCTCGGGTCCTATTGGTGTTGTTTCTGCCGTCTTCCTGGCGAGCCTGTCTGCTTCTTCATTTCGCCCTATGCCTTTTTGGCCTGGTACCCATAGAAGGAAGACCATGTTGTTTACTGCTAAGGCATTTGGTCTCTCTACGCACCC